GCAGTTTTAATCAATGACTGTAATGTGATGTGCAAATTTATGAGCACTCCCTTGTTTTGAGTTTAGAATTATAAATATAAACTAGAAGCACCATAGAGATTTTTGTTTCCAAACCTCTCATTGTATTTCAGAAGCACAATGGAAAGACCTATGTAAAACAATCCAGAAATCTTCTCAAACTTGGCCAGAAAAGAAGCATAATATGGCAGCCAGGCATTCAGACTGGGGTCCAGAATACCTGGGCCCCCAACAGAGTTTACTAGCTGTTTGACCCTGAGAAAGTTATTTAATTTCTCTGCATCTCAGTTTCCTCATTTGGAGAATGGTGATCATAATGGTACTTCTAGGCTCTTTGTGAAGATAAAATTAGTTGATATATGCGAAGCACAAAGAAAACACAGTAAATGTTATATAAGTGTTATTATAACTATTGGATATAAAATATATTTTAAATCTGACTTGTTATCAAGAATATAGTGCAAAATTATAAATCCATCAGTTATAGGTAGTTTATTTTTCCACTTATCTGTTTTTTTTCCACTTATCTATTTTAAGACAAAGTTTTAGTTGGTTAAAAAAAAATTAGAACTTTCAGACCATCAAGTTAAAGACTACATAAATGCAAAGTATTTGACATTAGTTGCTGTCTACTCAAGATTTTCCCTTTCTTCTTTAAATTACAGGGAGGTTTTTCTTTGGTCACTGTTCTCAGTAAGGCAAAACCATTGAGCTGAAGATCTGTTAGTATTAGAATGATTCAGTCATTAGGTATTGCGAATGGAGGGGGAGTGTGTCATGTGTCCCGTGTGCAGATAGGGAAGCAAAGTAATATAGTTTGACATGTAGGGAAAGTTTAGGTGCTACATACTCTTCATCCAGTACATTCAAGGGCCTTATTGAAACAAAAGGAAACAGGAAGTAGCATTCTTGTTTACAAATTCTGTGACAATGCAATGTACAAATGCCATATAGCTTATTTTTTTAAAAAGTCTACTAATCAAATTTGGGGTGAATACATCTAACTTGCTTTATTTCCAACTTGCAAACTTTCCTCCAGGGCAGCTACAGAAAACCTGGCCAGGATTCCAGCTCGTGAGGGTAGAATTTGGGATTGAGTTCTGGGAAGGAGGGGATATCTCACCAAAAGTTGTTTGGATAAATAGAGTTGAAAGGATGAGAAGAGAGTCAGGCTGAAGAAAACCACATGCCAACAGCAGGAAGAAATTGAATCCACTAGGAACAAGGGTGCTTATTTCAAATTGTTTTGAATAATGTTGGGTCAGTTTAACTTTATAGTTGGAAGATACATGGTCATGGTGGGTTGGCCAAAAATATGAGATTAGAGTGGAAATCAATTTCTCCACACCTGCATTGTTCTTTCTCCATGTTGGCCATTTTATTCTTCCTTAAGAGGATCTCAGCAAGAGATACCAGAACACAAAGAGGGAAAGCAACTGTACCATCACCTGCACTAAGAAAAACACAGTCAGTTAAGTATCTGAGTCTTGGTTTCTGCTCAGGTCCTAATATCCGAGCTGTGAGATTGAGCCTCGCATGGGGCTCCGTGCTCAGCGGGGCGTTTGCTTGAGGTTCTCTCTCCCTGCCCCTCCTACTAGTGCTCTCTCTCTCTCTGTCTCAAATAAGTGAATAAATAAATTTTTTTAAAAAGGCGTGTTTTGAGAATTAGGGTCTTACTCATCCATAACTTTGCTTCATTAACATGGAGAATTGAAATTTGATTTTCCTCAACCAGTTTTATTTTTTCTCAATAAAAAAGTCATCTTATACCTCACCTACCTTCAGTAGTTGTTATTCCTTACTGAGTTTACTGCTCTCAGCTTTCTGACAAACTCCAAAATAATGACCTATGTTGTGTATTGTTAAACGTTCAGTCAGATAGATAGACACAGATAGATGAGTATGTGTTGCACAAAGACAGTTTAGCATTATTTAATCAATGTTTGTTTGATCTGTGTAAAACGAGTATAAATGTAAGCTGCATCCCATCTGTTTTATCATCCATGTGAAGCCAACCTCATTTCTAAAACTTGATTTCTTCTGTAATTGCCCCAGAATGACAGAGGATGATCAGCTGGGAAGAAATACATTTCGGACTGGCAAGATAAAGAATAGTTACATTTAAGTGTTGGGCTTCCTCGTTTTTCAGTGGCCTTCAGGATAAGTAGCACCATGGCTTGGTAATTACCAGCTGTTAATCATCAGCTGGGCTTTGATATCACACAGACCTGGGTTTGAGGGTGAATGTATGAGTCTAGCTGTGTGAGCAAATTACTTAACCACCAAATCGCATAGTGCCACAGAGAAGGCCCTTAGTAAGATTTATTGAATTAATCTTTCTTTACTTCAATTTCCTTGTCTGGAAAATAACAATACATACCTCATAACACTTGTGAAAATTAAACAGGATAGTGTATGACCCGGCAGCTACTATAATTATCCTATTACTATAGGTCTTCTTCTCGTGTGTCATCCTTTAAGCTTAAACATATTAACACATGTGACATAAAATTCATGTTTCCATGACTGGTTTTTAAACTCTTCAATGTAGGTATCAAATCAAGCATTCAGAAGGCTGGGAATATGTAGCAAGAGTGAAAATAGACATGAGTTAACAGTATCTGTGTTGAGAGATGTAATTTCATTAGTCTAATTAAATGCATGCCACTTTACACTTCTGTGAGTGATCTTAGTCTGAAGAACAGGGCCATCAGAGGAAATAATATCTTCTGCCAAAGCATCAGTGAGCCTAGGAGCTTCTTGGGATATTTTAGAGAATAATGTGTAAGAAGCTTATGTACTCAGCAATGCTCCTCAGTATAAAGTGGAATATCACTGGTAGTTGTAATTTCAGGATCACATACTTTACTATTAAGCCATACGATAATGAGTGCTAAAGTATTAGTTTAGCACACTGTACACTGCAGTTTCCATAGTCTGTTCTTTAACTCCCATGTTACATGGAAGAATGACTCCACGATTTCTTTTTATGAACTCTTCTCAACAACATCTATTCATCAATTCAGTTCATTTAAGGAAACCTATTGAACCATAATTTATTGAGCCATCTTTGTAGATGCAAAGATGATTAAAGATGTATAAGTAGGACTGTGGCTAAGGACTTTAGAATCTAAGCTGTAGGTCACTCAGAGCCAGTGGAAGTTCTTAAGCAGGAACCTAACCTGTCCAGAGCAGAGCTTCAGAAATACTACTTTGGTATGAAGAGTGCATTAGAGTGAGAGTTCAAAGAGTTAAAGCAGACATCAGATACTTAAGGATTGGATTTAGGGAGTGGCAGTGAGCTGGTAGATTTGGGACTGATTTAAAAAAATGTTAAGGTAGGGTTTGCTCACCAAATAAAGCCACTTTGTGTGGAGAAAGTTCAAGGTTGACTTGAAGGCTTCCACCCAGGCATCTGCATGTTTCAGCTCACCGGATACTTGGAGAGAAGTACATTCCACAGGGGAGATGATGAGCTTCCCTGGAAGAACAAACTAGAAAGACCCCTAATTATATTATCCTTTAGACTCTAAAGCATGGATAATTATTTTGCTGAATATTGTTCAGTGACAGACTAGTTATATATAGGTTAGCAGAGGCTAAGAAAAGAAAAAGGGTTTTATAATCCTTAGTAAATTAGAGACTGCAATCTATCCTGCTGAGAATTTTAGTATGTATGGAGGCTATTCATGACGGTTAATAGGTTGACTCTTTACCATCCCTATTAAACACAAAATATACACATCTTTAATAAGTAACAGCAGTTGGATATGTTTTACTTTCCAGGTCTACATATACATATTGAAGCATGGTAAATGCCCAGGATCAAAAACAACTGCTAAAAATTCTATTAATATAACATAGTATCTTTACTTTTTTAAAGAATTTTACCTGTATATAAACCCAATTTATCATTATTTCTGACAACTTGACTTTAATCATTTGAAATCATGTTTATGTAATTACTGAACTGATGTCTCCATATACCATGAAATTATATCTTAAAAAAGTGTCAGTGTCATATGATCAAAGAAAAGATGTTTTGATTTCCTTAACATTGTAGGAAATTAAGAAGTCCCTTGGAGATTTATAATCAAATCCAGAATTCAGTCTCAAAATAATGGTTCTGCTTTAACTATAAAAAATGTATATATTATTTTATATCTGTAGAATATTTACTTTAGATTATTGAATAATGGTTTGAATGAAGGCATCAAGAAAAGTCACTAAAAATCAGAAAAAGTAAGTTTAAAATAAAGAATAAAAAGGAACAAACTGTAAATATAATGCAATAATAAATAGGAAATAAATAGAAAAGCAAGTAGATCCTATTTGCTTTGGGTCATGAATTGGTATTTGAAGATGATTATTAGAATTAACCAACTTCCCTTCTTTACCATTATTCTTAACTATTTGAATTGTACAAATTGCCTTGTGATACTGGTCATAGTGTGTTGTGGAGAAACAGACACAATTTTAAGTTGCCATCAGGTTGTAAGCCCGTAGGCGAAGAAAGAACAGCGAAGCCTGTGTCCAGTGAAGCTGGTGAATAACCAGTAAATGTGAGGGTGAGGCTAGATCCTGACAGGAAAGAGTAGGGAGAATAATCAAGATAAAATAATGTTCATAGAACCAGAAGGAATATTGAACCAGATAATTTGTAAACTCCAGCTGCAGAGGAGGAAATGGAAAAGTAAAACAATTTTTAAAACCCTGCCTTTCCAATATTCACAGAACATCTATATTGATTTTTTTTTCATTTGAATCAATGTTGGTGACTATCACTGTTTTTTACTATGATTAATCATTTCGTGTTATGCTAGTTATATTACTGTTCAGCTTCATAGCTAGGGTCATCTTTGATGAAGTGTGGCTTCAGACTTTTCTTTTTAAATCATGTTTGTTACTTGTGATAAATGCCTATAATCCGTGTTATCAAGTATTGATTTTGTGTGTGTCTATGTGCTGTTTTTCTTTTAAAGTCAATTGACCCTGGCCAGCAGTTCACATGGGAACATTCAAACTTGGAAGTAAACAAACCAAAGAATAGATATGCAAATGTAATCGCATATGATCATTCCCGGGTTCTCCTATCAGCAATAGAAGGTAAGGAAATTCAGACATTATTTACACTTTTATTTTCATGAATTTAAGAGTGTGCATGAAAATATATTTTTAGCTAGGTTTTTTGCTATCTATGGACTTAGTTAATTAAGATTCGGGTATCACTTATTCTCTCATTTTCTTTCTCATACAAATATACTATTTATATTTGGGCACACAAAATCCCTAACACCATATAACATAGAAGCATCTCTCATTACCTTCTTGGCTTGACTCTAGGTGGAAGACTTCATAATGTAATTGATGTTTATAAAGGGGAAGCAAATCAAGGTTGCCCATTTTACTGATGGTTGCTGAAGGTTATAAATAAACAGGTGATTGTCAGAAGATGCTCATGGACTATTATTTTTAAATGGCGGGGGGGGGGGGGGGGGGCTTGTTTGTAAATAAACCTGGATAGCCACTAGGGACAGTCTAAAGGTTAGGAGTTGGTGGTGTGGTGATTAATTAAAATTAAGCATATTGGAAATGTCTGGTACAGCTAATTTGTGGACTCATTGGTAATCTGTCTCTCACAATTGTAGCAAGGAGTGCATTCCAGAAGGAATGATTGCTCCTAAAAGATGGGGATTACACCTCTATTATAACTAGCTTCTTGTAAGGATTCATGAGGAGAGTATTTTCCATTCATCCCCTTCCAGTAATAAATCCCTTCACATGGCATATTAAAATCAATTAGGAGCTCATGTTCAACACTCAGTATTTTGTTAGTTTTTGTTTTTGTTTTTGCTTTTGTTTTTGTTTTTTGGCTATGGTGGCACATTTCTGTCCTTAGAAAAGAGTTTACAATGTCACTTAAACCCTTCCTTCTGTCCTAATAGCTAACCTGGACCACCAACTGCCACATACCACTTCATCCTCATTGGCATTCTTTAGAAAAGCTCTGTGGCCTTTTCATACTTGAAAGTTCACTGCTTACCCTCTTCCAGATATTTTATTAAACATTAAATAATACCAGCTTCAGACCTGGTCCTTTTTAGAACCTGGCAGTTCAAACATTTTCTTCTACAATCGTTCAAGTATCTTTCACTTTTTTCTGCTTCTCAAATCTGTGATGACTACCACTTTATCTCATAACTCTGATCAGGTCCTACAAGTCCTACATGCTTCATTTAGTACCAAATTTAATTTGAAAGTGAGACACTGCTTAAAGTCTTTCCCAGTAAACACACAAGGCAACCGATACATTTATTTCCAGTTTATGGGAAGAACTATCTTTCAGCATTTGAGCAAGCCCATACCTGCAGCCCCCTTTCTTCAAACTGGTGTTATGTGGCATAGATATATTTTGTAAAATTCTCACAATCAATTTTACTTTTGATGTTGGAAAATGTTGTAATTCCTTTTTGAGGCTATTGAAGGTACTAGGAGCTCAGGAGTTAACCTTTTTCCATATGGGAAAAAATTGATCAGGTTTATCAAAATTTCACCAATGCTAGTTCTTCAAACAGGACGGTGTCAAACAGGTAATTGCTTCAAGTCCTGTTTGAAAACTGTAATTGGTATATGTGGAGGATTAGCATAAAACATTTATATTTTATCTTTGTATTTCCCACTTTAAAATGTAAAAAAAATAAATAAATAGCAATTTCTTGTCTCAAGTCTCTTAAATCAACTCCATAGTTAATAAGAAACTAAACCAAGTCACAAGTGGAGGAGAGAAATCTTTTTTCCATTAGTGAAACAGGTAAATTATAGAAATTAAATGAATGTAAATTGAGAACCTATTTGGCATGGTCTTGGCTGGAGAACTTGTCAGTCTGCTTTTGCTATATTGTAGCATTGTTTCCACTCGGAATTAGGTCTTTCAGTATTACCATGTCCCTGTACTTTTGCCCACTTTATCATTATTTTCCTTAACCTGTTATTTTCCTCCATCTTAACAGTAAAGTATGTCGAAGGAAAAGAATATTCCTCCTTGTCCCTTTATTATGATAGATGGAAACTATGTACATTTCATTCCTATGCTATTTTTACAGTACAAAAGCAAAAGCACTTGAATCAGACGAAAACCTGCCTTTTTATAGCTCTATGCTCACAAATATACCCTAAATCTAGAGCTGACCTAGAAACCAAAAGTCTTTCAATTTTAAGTCTTATGCAAAAGGTTAGAAGCATTTAATTGAAGTTTATAGGCTATACAGAGAGCTTTAATCTAGATTACAACCATGAACAGCGTTTTATCTTAGACTAAGCCCTACTCAGCAGATATTTAAGGGGGTAAACGATCATCCTGTATCTTAAGCACGGAAAAGGAATGCTGGCAACAGGAACCACAGAACCGCCAACTGGGGCTTCTCGCATAAAGGGAGCTTTGATAACACAGAGCCAGATTTTTCAAGAGGATTTAAATGTTAAGAGACTTCATGCACAATTTATAAAATTTAACATGCTTGTTTTGGGTTCCACCTGTGGTGATAACTTAAAAGACTTTGGTTGAAGGTTTTAGTTTGGACATTTTTGCTGCTGTTCTCCATGGCGCTGGCCCCTCTTCATGTTTACTTTGCAGAGTGGTCTGACAGACAATAAAGGAAAACTGGAAGTTGCCACAGTGATTCGTATTATGTTTATCTTTGTTTCCTATAGCAAAACCTTTACACTACTTCCGCTGAGCAATGGCAGGGGAAATAAACTAAAGAATGGGAATTATGTGTCAGCACGAGTGTGCTTATTGAATTCTGTGAAAATAGTGATACTTCATGACATGTTTCCAAATTACAGTCATTTTATTTATGTTGGGGAAAATGTAGAATAAATTCAAGAGAGTTTCAACTACAGAAATGCTTACATTTTTTTGAATTATAGAGCAAGCACTATGGAAACACAAATTTTTGACCAATCCAGTTACTGTTGGCCTCCCCTCCATGTTTAAGCTGTCCATAAGAGACATCAGTAATTCCTGAGGAAGAGAGGTGATAGGATTTATTTTCATAGTGTAAGCTAAATATTGTCAAAGACTAAATGGAAACTAATACTTATATGTACATAAAATAATATATAATTATATGTTTAATCTTATAGAATCCAAAGTTGCTCATTACTTTTAATAAAGTAAGAAAAAACAAATGGATAAACCAAAAGATGAGAAGAGCAAGGAAATCTGGGTTTGGGTCACAGCTCTGTCACTTCCTAGTCATGTAACCTCATCTTCTCTGAGTGTCAATTCCTAGCTGAAACCTTTCTTTTTTTTTAATTTGAGTATAGTTGACATACAATGTTACAATAGTTTCAAGTATACAACATAAGTGTTATGCAACTGATTCAACTTCTCTGTAAATTATGCTGAGCTCACCACAAGTGTAGCCTCCATCTGTCCCCATACAATGCTATTAAAATATCATTGACCATATTCCCTATGTTGTGCCCTTTATTCCCATGACTTATTTATCCCATAACTGGAAACCTGTATTGTCCATTCCTCTTCACCCATTTTGCCCATCCCCTCACCCCCCCTTCCCTCTGGCAATGACCAATTTTTTCTCTGTATTTAGTGGTCTGATTCTGCTTTTTATTTGTTTATTCATTTGTTTTATTTTTTTTAAATTCCACGTATGAGTGAAATCTCTTTTACTTCTGACTTCTATGAATTAGCTCTATGTAGCTTTCTTATCAATTATATCATTTACTGTACACACTATTTTGCTATATAATACACACACACACACACACACAGTCACATCATATATAATAGAGCTCAAATTGGAAGCGAGCTTTTCTGATTCCTCAGCTCATGCTTGCATGGGCCCACCTCATTCACACTGCTTTCCTACTGATAGGCAGTGTGTCTGTGACTGAGTCACTAGCTTGAATCCAGGAAATTATCAGTGTTCCAAATGCTTTAAAGTCCTGTAGTTGCAGAAGTAAGGTCAAGTGCATCTATCTCTAACTGATTCCAAAGGTGGTCTACTTACCTCAGTATCTTTGTCTATATCTTCAACTTCTGATAAACTCAGGAATATCAATAAATGGAAGATTATTTATCGTAATGTCTAATAACTAGCATAGCTTTAATCTATTTCAGTCCTAGATAAAAAAAGGTGTTTTTTCCCCTAAAATGTAATTACTCTTCACTGCTGCCAGTATTCTATTTCTTTTCTTTTTTTAAGATTTTATTTATTTGCAAGAGAGAGAATGAGAGACAGAGAGCATGAGAGGGAGGAGGATCAGAGGGAGAAGCAGACTCCCTGCTGAGCAGGGAGCCCAATGTGGGACTTGATCCCAGGACTCCAGGATCATGACCTGAGCCGAAGGCAGTTGCTTAACCAACTGAGCCACCCAGGCGCCCCGCCAGTATTCTATTTCTATTAGTAGGATCATAATTAACATTTCATTTCACTTTAAAAGGCATATTCAAATGGAATTTTAAAAAAACATTGCCCATGGGGCACCTGTGTGGCTCAGTCAGTTAAGTGTCTGCCTTCAGCTCAGGTCATGATCCCAGGGTCCTGGGATCGAGCCCCGTGTCAGGCTCCCTGCTCAGTGGGGGAGTCTGCTTCTCCCTCTCCCTCTACCCTCCCTGCTTGTGCTTTTGCTCTCACACTCTTTGTCTTTCAAATAAATAAAATCTTTAAAAAAATCTTTGGCCAGGACTAAATATAAAGCAAAATTTAAAACCCTACTTTTTATGTCAACAATAAAGACAAGAAGTTAGAATACTGTGTTGGGGAACATGTCATAGATTTTATATCATGTATGAAATCATGGATAGATATCTATAATGTTCAGAACAACCTCAAAAGTTAGTTGTTATTGTCAGTTTTATAGATGAAGAAACTGTTAAACTTTTTTTAAAGATTTTATTTATTCATTTGAGAGAGAGAGAGACAGACGGATAGACAGAGCATGAGCAGGGGAGAGAGACAGAGGCAGAAGAAGAAGCAGACTCTCCGCTGAGCTGGGAGCCCAACATGGGGCTCGATCCCAGGACCCTGGCATTACGACCTGAGCTGAAGGCAGACGCTTAACCATCTGAGCCACCCAGG